CACCCCGCCCCCTCTTGATTGACACCAGTGCTGGCTCTGACATGATTTAAAAATAGATATTAAGACAAGGAAGTTTAATTTTTAATGCTTTGGAAAAGAAGTGAACACAGAGCCGGCATTCATCCCTTCATGGCCACGTTCTGGGGTCTCGGAGCACCAGCCCCCTCTACCCCAAACAGAGCCATGCCTGACCCACTCTGAAGGGCTGCTTGGAGGAGGCCTCTGAGGAGAGAGCCTGATGCCTCACACCTGAGCCCTTCAGGAAGCCTCTAAATGCCTCGCCACCCAGCGTAGCTAGTCTCCTGCTTGGGGAGGCCAGGTCCAGACCTGTCTGGACCCCACTCAGACCCCACAGCCCACTTCCCACACTTCCCTTGCCAGACAGAAGGCACCACACAGACTCCTTAGACACCCAGGCCTTCCAGCATCGACTGTGCACAGACCCATGTCCTGGGCCACCGTGGACCAATGGAGAGCCAGGGAGCCCGCAGATGAATTCACAACACAGCCAAGCCAGTAACAAACACATGCCTCTGAAATGACAGGAGAGCCCTACCCCAGTCGCCTGCACCCAGAGACAAGTGAACAGGCCGAGCCACAAGGACCTGACTCCACTTAGGGGAGGTTAATCAGGGCCTCCACCCAGCACCCTACCCATGGCAGCCCGGCCCCAACCTTTCCCTTGCTCCAGCAGGCACACTGAACACTGCCTCTTTGGCTAATTGGCCTTTATTAAGGGAGCAATCCACAAGGAATAGCCTGTCCAATGGAGCCAGAATGTCACTATTCTGCCAGCCATGATTTAAAGTGACAGAGCAGCTCTGCTGGCACGCATGAAAAGTGACCATTATCCTGAGTGGCAATTAGGCCGGCAACCCCAGGCCCACCCCACCCCTCCTTATCAGATAGGAGCTGGATCTGGTTTGGGAGGGGCTAGGCCAGCATCATGATATGCTGACTCAAGAAGGGGACCCGGGCCCCAGCGGCCAAAGCCCACCCCTACACTCACTCTCTACCTTACTCAGAGTCTAAAGCACTGAGCCTCCTTTGCCCTCCTGGAGGGGTGCGGATTCACTTCCATCTCTCTCCAGGGTACTCCACCAGACGACTCTGGGAGGGCTCAGAGATGTGCTGACAGAGGGAGCTGCCCCTCGGTGTCCACCCTGGGGTGGGTTTCATTCCCAGTGTACAGGCCCCTTGGGATGGAGAAGCTTCTGTCCCAGCCCTGGACTTCTATTCCCTGTCCACCAAGAAGCCAGCATTCTCTTTGGCCCCAAGGATCAGGGTGAGGTGTGCCAGGGAAGAGGAGGAGGGGCTCAGGCAGATATGACCCCCGACTCCTCCTCCCCTCGCCCCACCATCTCTAGCAGGCCCCCAAAAATGCTGCCCTGCGTGCCACCATGGCTAGCATCATCTGAGTGAAGTCAGTGGTGCCAGGAGCAGACCTGGACACTACACGCTCCCCCAGCAGCCTGCAAGTCACCTGCTCTTTCCGTGATGAGGAGTGCAGGCCACATAGCTTGGCCTCTATCCTGCCCCTGGTGATGTCATCCACGTCCTCACTAATAACAATACTCTAGAAGCTCCGCCCAGTGGCAAGGAACCAGGATTCTCACTCCTGGGGATGGGGGTGTGGCCGGGGGTGGGGGGGAGGGTTGCAGTGTGACAGTTGCACCTCTCCTCAGCACTGGGAATCCTCCCAGCGGGCTCTGAGAAGGCAGGGGGGTGTGGCAGCAGCGGTGGGTTTGGAGAACTACCAGGTAGGCTCCAGGATCTATAGGAAGATCTCTATCTATTGATTGCAGGCCTCAGATTCAACTCTAATGTCTCAGAAAAGCCTTCCTTTGGGATCTGAGCCATGAGACTAGAAAAAGCGATGGCTACATAATTCCTAACAATTGCTCTGGGTCCCACGGGCCTCGGGCTCTGACCAGCCCTGCATCCCTCCTCACCCCCACCGTCTCCCTCACCTCCAGCCTTTCTATTCATGTATGCAGTGGAAAGCGGCAGAAGTCTCCCAGGGGCCCTGTGTCATCAACTACCCCATCTACCTTTGGCCTAAACACCTTCATTCTTTTCTCTTCTGATTGGCTCTTTCCTCTGCTTCTTCTCTATCAGGCCCAAGCACCTGCCTGCAGGACGTCTTTGTTCAAGTTCAGTCACCTGCCCGTGCCCAAATCCTGGCTAACTGCCTGCTACACCTTCTCCACCTCCCAAGGAACACAGTGGCAAATACTCTTAAACACGCCAGCATCTGTTTCTCTTCTGCTAACTTTCCATCTTTTCTAAGGTCTATATCTCATTTCATAACTCACACACTACTGGCATAAAAGAACGGGGTCTTTGAGATTCAGTTTCTCCCAGCTTGTAGCAAGTCATGGGAATTCTGAAGATATTTAAGTAATCAGAAAAGTCAGAGACTCAGAGACAGAGAGACTCCTTGCCTGGTGAAAGAGTGGTGGTGGGTACCTCCTAATTAGGAAGAGACGGCAAGTTCTCTCACTATATTCCATCAATCAGCTCATTAACCTCTGCCAAGCTTTTTTTTTTTTTTAATGTTTTATTTATTTCTAGGAGAGAGAGAGAGAGACAGCGTGAGCAGGGGAGGGTCAGAGAGAGAGGGAGTCACAGATTGAAACAGGCTCCAGGCTCTGAGCTGGCAGTCAGCACAGAGCCCGACGCGGGGCTTGAACCCACGAACCGCGAGATCATGACCCAAGCGAAAGTCAGATGCTTAACCGACTAAGCCACCCAGGCGCCCCACCTCTGCCAAGCTTTTAAGAGAAGATGAAAAGAGCCGGTTGTCACCCCACAGTTAAGTTGCTTAAAGAACCTTCATCACAGGCAAGTTTGAGAACTAACTTCTCTTCCCTATCAAGAGGGGTTCCCTACCACACAATAAGATGTGGCTTTACCACTCTGGCCCACCATTCATTCACTCACTCACAAACATATAATGAGTGCCTACTATGTGCAGCACACGGCCTACTATGCCAGCATGTGAGGGAGGAGGTATCTAAACCAAGCCAGGACCATTCTGGAGAAGGAAGGAGCCACAAGCAGTTATATCTATTCCGGCCAGCAGGTGGCGGGGTGGGGGTGGGGAGGAGGGCCGCTGAGTGGGAGGTATTGGCCGAGGCACTGAGCATCCCCACCAAGGTCTTTCTAGTAAGTGTTAAGACATACAGAGTGGAAGCAAGGAAGAAAGGTAGGCTGAGACTATGAATGAGGGCAGAGAGGGAAACCACCATGAAAGCAAGGCAGCATTCATGTAAATCGTGAGCCCCAGAGAAACACACACGGGTACTTGACTGACAAGAATGCCGGCAAATGGGTCAGAGGACCAGGAGCACTCGCCCAAAGGCGGCCACAAAATCATTCCTGACATTCCAGCGGTTCTACGCCCAATTTCCATAAACCCTCATTACAGGACAGGTAACGTCCTAACTGCGGTGGCTAGAGGGCATGGGACCATGCAGACTCCCGGGGAAACCCAACTCAGATGATCTCAAAGCAGGCTCCTCGGAAGAAAAGCGGCAGCCTGTGCCCCAGGTCGGGAAAGGGGCTCCCCGCCCCCCCACACACACACAAAGGGAAGGCAAGGATTCAGGGCGTCCCATAAGTAATGGAGTCAGACAAGAGGGAAACTATCCCAAGAGTCCCCCACAGACAGCAAAGGAAACCCAATCCTTAAGGGATAACGCGATTTGCCCAAGGTCACACAAGAAGCTGACACAGACCCAAGACTGGACCCAGTCTTCTTCCTGCCCAGCCCCAAGCTCTCCCCGTCTATGGGAAAAGTCACCTCCCCCAACACACACACCCAAAAAAAGTTGGTCAGTTAAAGCAGGTCACTTCACACAAGTGTTGAACATCAAAGTACAACCGCTTCTACAGAGCTGCACTGGGAATGACTTTCTCCTGCCCCCAGTGCCCTTCTGGACCATGGGCAGCTAACAGCCTCCAGCAGGCAGGACAGGCCCTGGGGCAGGGCCAAACATCTGTGCTGACGATGTCGGGGCTCTGGTGAAGAAAGGTGGAGGCGGCAGTTGGGATGAAGGAACAATTAGATACGAATTTAAGAAGTTTTCAAATTTGCCTCACTAGTATTTCTTCTGCATGCGTGCACATGTGTGCACACACGGCCTCCAGAGTCTCAGGGGACGGAGAACAATTCCAAGCTGCCCCACCCACTGACACCCTCTTTAGAAAATAACCTCTCACCCAGGATAGGGGCGCTCTCTTTGTCCCTTCCAGTCTCTGGGGCTCCTGGAGCCAGGAGGGCTGGCATTCCATGGTGGGAGCGCATGGCCAGCCCGCTCCCTGCCCAGTCCACTGCAATCCCTCAAAAGCAGCTGCCCGCCACCCGATGGCAGCATCTCTCCCACACACTCCTTTTCCACACAAGCCCTAACTCGGGCATATCTGCAGGCTAGCTAACGTGTGTGTGTCTCTCGGCTTGGGACGGGGGCTCCCCTCCTTTTTCTGGGACTCACTGAAAGAGTCAGAGGAAGTGACCTCCACGATCCCTCCCACCCCACCTCATGCCCGTAAAATACTGCAGATCAAATTCTTGTGTATTCAGAAAAAATACAAGAAGAAACTCCAAAACCATCCACATTTGCGCCGGTCTTCAACTCAAGGTCACAGCTGTTAAAAATTCTGGCCCCACACCTAGTTCTGCAGGTTACCCAGCTGGAGGCACTTCCAGCATGGGTTTCTTACAGGGGAGGGAGGTGGCGGCAAACTTTGTCAGCCACCTAGGAGTAGAGTATGTACCTCCTGGAAGACAGGCAAGTTGGAGCCTCCATTCAGCCACCACGGAGAAAGGAAGAGAAAGATGAATGAAGGGGGGTGGGGAGGACGATTTGTTTTTAAACCCCACACTTACCGCTGTGCAGAAAGCAGGGCAATGCAGCACCCAGAAGGAAGAGGGTATCACGCTGGGATAAGCAACGAAGAGGGGAGGGGGCAAAGGAGAGAGAATCGCAAGGACTTACCCAGAATATCAAATTGAAGAGGAACATCATGTACTTCAAGCAGCAGAGGCAGCCCCTGGCCATGTTGCACTTCTTAAATTCTAGAAGAAAAACAAAGGACAGGTCCAGGTAAAACACCACGTACTTGCTGCCTTTGGGTGCATAGTACTTGTCAGTCTTAACGCCAGCCTCGGCGCGGCTCTGGCCCCTGGAGCCCGCGGTGCCGTAGAAGGCGCCGGCCGTGAAGCCGCGGCCGAACGGGCGGCCCGAGGTGGACGGTTTGGCAAAGTCCGAGTCCTTGCTGTCCAAAGATGGACTCCGGTGGATCGAAGAATCCTCGCTACTCGACTTCTCCATGCTCGCGTCGTTCCCGGGGGGCGCGAGGGGCGGGGGGCATCGCTCCCGGAGTGGGACGGAGGGGGCGCCCAAGTCGGGCGCGGGCTGCGGGCGGGCTGGCGGAGCCCCGCACGCCCCCTCTCTGTAGCCGGGCGCACTCCCGGCCAGACCCCGTGCTCAGGGGCCGCTGCCTCTCGGACGGCGCCCCGCTCCCAGCCGGCTGGCCCGGGAGGGCTCTGCGGTGCGGCGCGGCGCGGCGCGGCGCGGCTCGGCTCTACGCGCGCTCGCGAACGCTCTCCGGGAACCGGCTGGCCTGCGTAACTTAACGTCTTTGGGGAGGCTGCAATTTGATTTCTCTTTCCAGAGCGTCAGCTCGCCTCCCGGGTGCACCGGCTGCTCCGCGCGAGGCAACAAGGGCGCCAGGATCCAGGTCCCCGGGCACACCTCTCTCCCTGCCCAGCCCCAGCGCCGAGCCCGACCACTTCGCGGGCGCTCTGCCTCCTCTCGCTCCGCGACTTTGCGGAGCTGCTCGCCGGCCCTGGGCTGCCCGGGCGCGCGGCGAGCCGTGCCGAGGGATCCGCCGCAGCTGCCACCGCTGGGCTTTCCCTGCGAAATCCCAGCCCCGACTCCTGACTCCAAAATTGCCCGGAGCCCCCTCCCCGGGCCCTCGGCCCCGCCCCCCTGCTTTGCATTCGACCAATGAGCAAGGGCCTGCCGGGGGGGCGGGCGGCCTCCCCCTCCCCAATGACACATTATCTTTAATAGGATTAGCTTTCTGCTGTGTGCCTATACAAGTGCGCCGCGAGCCCTCGCTAAATGTCAAGGGCTCTGGAGCTGGGGGTAAACCAGAACCTTCATCGGAAGGCGCCGGTCTCTACTACAGGAGAAAGGGGGGCGGCGAGAGAAAGAGAATGGCTGGAGGTACCGATGACCCAAAGAAACCAGAGGAAAGGGCTGGGGAAGACAGGAGGAGGAAAGAAGCGCGGCCACTTTCGAGCTGGCCGCCGCCCCCCGTGCACACGGGGGCCTGTCCGACCCGGGGCACACGGTCTCCCTGCTACACACACACACGCTTTTGCACACGTGGGTCTGGCTACGGCATGCAGGGAAAAGAGACCGCAGGGGAGGCGCGAGGTGTGGGAAAGGCGCTTGGGGCCTCCGCGGGGCGCGCGCCGCCCTCCCCGCCCCCTCCGCGCGCGCGCGCGCGCACGCTCGAGCACACACGCGGCTCCGCGAGGCTCCTGCAGCTGCGCGAGGCCCCCCAACCCCCACCGCCCCCGCGTTCCCGGGTGGGATGCGGTGCTGGCTGGGGCCGTAGCGGGGCTGAAAAGAGTAGGTGCCAGAAGTAAGGTCCTGCCTTGCCCCCTCTGAATCCTGCTTATGCCAAGGGTGACGTAGGAGTGCTCTTGGACACAGGCAGGGTCCTCTCCCCCGGGAGGAGGGCACGAAAGGGGCTGGTCAAGGGAGAGGAATACTCTAGCTGAGGGACTTGGGGAACATCCAGGAGGAGCCCTTCATCCCCCTGTAAAAAAAACAAAAAAAAAACAACTGCACCTGTGTCTCCTGGGCTTGTGCAGAAGTCTGCACTGCTGATCTGCAGCTACCATACCTGGCAAACAAAGAAAACTAGACCTGGGGGGGGGGGGAGGAGAGGGAGGGCGGGGAGCCCACGTCTCTTTTCTGCCCCTAGCAAGAGAGTGCTGAGAGCCCCAGAGAGCAGGGCCAAGTAGTTTCCAGGCCCTGTATCCGAGCACCTAACACCGGCCTTGGCCTCTAGGAGGCGCTAGACAAGGATGGCTGGGTAGAGGAATTCCTGCCCCTCCCTCGGAGTGGGGGTGTGAAATGTCCACCCTGGATCCCATCAGACATTTATTCCACCCTGCTATGTGGCTGAGCATGGCCCTTGAGGAAACCTATATAAGTTGTGCTGCTCCCTGCCCTTCAGACACACACAATCTAGTCAGGAAGACAGAAGGACATTAATCACCAATGCGATGGGCAAGAACATAATTGGCTGTGGCCCAGAGGGAAGGGGACATTAATTCCAACCACAGGGACCAGAAGATCCTCATCGCAGGTCGGCTGCGGTAGTCCCATGCTGAGTCTGCACCCTCACTGGCTCAGAGAAGTGCTGGCACCCCACTTCTCTAAAGGGACCTGCAGTGGTGTTACCATTCTAAGCCCCTTCCCCACTTAGATGGCTGCCCAGCAATGAAACTTAGTGAGTGTCACAGCCATGGCACCTTGGTCTCCTGGTTGGGTACAGTGGTCTTCTGGATGCTTCCTACAGATGAGGGGCAGGTGTCTGGCTGGCTCCCGGCTGAACCCACTGCCACCCGACTGGAATGGCTAATGCCTTTTTTCCTCTTCAGTCCAGACCAGCTCCCATGGGCTCCCGGCTGCCACTCCGTTCTCATAATATGACTTCTTTGACGCAGGAGAGATCATTTACCAGCTGGACGGCGGGTCAGGAGACCCGTTTTTCACTCTGAGCTCAATTTTGAGCTGTGTGATCAAGGACAAGGAAGTTTGCCTTTCTGAGCTACCATTTCCTCCTCCTTAACATGGGGGTTAATAGAGCCTCCCCCCCAAGAGGCTTTGCGAAAATAAAGTGAGCTGGCAGATGTAAGTAAAGGGAGCAAATGCAAGGGCCTGTTATCACTAGTCTCAGACAGAGATTAGGTGATGTCAGCCAGGGCCCGCCCAGGCTGGCCCCTCTACCTTCTTAATTCTTTCCCCCTCGATTCCCACCTTGTTAGTGAGAATAGCTTCTGCACTGTCCCTGGATCTTCACCTTCATTTCTAAGAGGATTTAAGCTGTTTCCTGGTGGGCCAGGGTGAAGGACAAGGAAAGAGAAGGCTCCCAGTAACAGTTCTGCTCGTTCCTGGTCACCCTTGTGGGAAGGGCATTGAAGTCCAGTTTTTGGTCCATTAACAAAGTTCAGTGATGTCCCCTCAGGGCACCTGGCTCAGCCATTGTGAGAATAATCAGAGCAACAGAGATTCATAAGTGCTTATTGTATCCCAGGCACCCAGCTTCACACACCATAACTCACCGAATCCTCATGACAAACCTACAGAATAGGGTTTATTATCCCCATTTTACAGATGAGGAAACTATATGATTTCAAAGCCCATTTCTTCACTCTTGCTCTCTAAACCAGTTCCCACCCTTGGGAATCTTCCAGTCTAAGAGACAGAATCTAAAAGCACAAAAGGGAACCTGAAATTACATGTCCTGACGAGAGAGAGGTCATTAGATAAAAGGACCTCAAGGGGGCGAAAAAAGCGCCTTCTGCCCCCACTCCAGGACCGTACCTAGAGAAGCCCAAAGCGAGTGATATAGCACATTCCATGACAGGACCAGCGAAGAGCTGTCCCTTATGCCCCCTGGTGCAGGTATGGACAGCAAAAGAGGAGGTGGGAGGGCATCCCGGGAAGGCATGAGTATGATACATGGAGGGGACAGTGAGGAGACAGGCCTCCCTGGAGCAGGAAATTGTGCCTGAGAGTCAAAGTGAGCTACTGTGCATGGCCTTGCATGACACAGGAAAAGTTTGGACTTCATCCTGGAGCTTCCCAAGCAGTGGAGGCACATGACAAAATTGGTGCCCTAGGAAGCTGAGCCTGGCAGCAGCATGAAGAAGTGAGATCAGCTGCTGTGGTTGTCCCGTTCTGTTCTTAATATTTGGGGTACATAAGTAACCTCCAGAGATCAAAGGTAGTCTGAGACTCTATGTCTCCTGCCCATCCCCTGATCCACTCAACTGCTCACCCTGCTCAGGAGAGCTGAAAGATACAGCCTGCCCTTGAGAATCTCTGAGCATGTGAACAAGGCAGAGCTGCCTTGCCATGCCTTTTTTTTTAAACCAAAAAAAAAAAAAAAAAAAAAAAAAAAAGTGAAGCGAGTACAGAATTCCCAGAGGGGAGAAAGAGAAGTGAATACGTGAAATCAACATGCAACATCTCCGCTGACTGGCAACTGGGGAGATGTGGGCTCCGAGTAAATGCCAAGCTCTCTCTGCCTCTTTCCGAGCTCCTCAGGCTTGCAGTGAGAGAGCGCAGCTTTGGTCTCTCACCCACACACAATCAGAGCTGATGGACCAACACAGATCCCCTTCCTGACCTGCGCTGAATATTTCTGTATTTGGCACCGTGTGCAGCTCATGAGGTATCCTGTACCTTCAAGCTTCAAACAGGGCAGCCTCATCGAGAATTTAGGTTAGACACGAGGTGGCACTTGCTATCCTAGGGAATGTGTGAGACAGGCCACCATTGTAGAAGGGAGGCTTACCTCATCCCAATTTTTAAACTCCAAAATTGGGATCTTTCTAAGCAATATAGAAAATGCTTTAATTGCCAAGCAAACCGTTTACCCATGGTGCCCAAAGAAAAGAAGGCCGGGGAGGTCCCTAGGAGGGAGGCAATCTCCCGAAGGCTCAGCAGGCAAGGAATGGTTAGAAGGGTCCAGAGGCAGGGGCAAGTCTCCTCTTTGCCATGGAAATTAAACAGCTACAAGGTCACATGTTACCATACTTGGCCAGGATTCAGGAGGACAGTAACAATGCCAGTGAAAAGGTCGGAGTCAAAAAGAACTAGGGGTAGTTCTGGTTTTTATGTGTTAAGTTTCTGAGACTAGTAAGGAAAACAAACAAACAGGGTTTGGCTGCAGTGACCAGGTTCACAGTTAGACAGGATTGCTCCAGACAGTCTATCAACCGTGGTCCATTTACCTCACTCTCTGGGAAGAGGTTTGTTCCTCTCTCCTTTGAGCCCCCAGCTGTTTGTTCAGCCTGCAATTATAGTTTGTCCACATGCCTCTGCTCTGGCCACCAGGCTTCCCCAAGGAGTTAGGGGCTGGGTCTGAACCATTCCATCACCCACCGGGGCCTGTCACAGTGACCACCACAGGGCGGGTACTCAGAATTTGTAGATAGGTAGAGGGGAGAGGAAGACCACCATGCCTAAGTCCTGGGTTCTCTCTAAGGATAGCCTGAGAGCCCCAAGTTCATTAACCAGAGAATGGGACACAAGCCAGAAATCTATGGAATTGTTCCTGGAAAGCAGGCTATCTGAGGCCATCAGAACCTGACGAGGGAACTCAGGAAATGTAAAATTCCCAGCTATAGATAACAGGGGGTAAAGGCCACAAGGTCAACTGTTTTGTTCAGAGCCATATTCCCAATACATAGAGCAGCATGGGATGGGTGAGGAAACAGACAGACGGATAAATAAACTTATGGATCCGAGCGCCACTCTGGAGGAAGACTCAGGAGAGGCAGGAAACGGAACCCAGGGAAGACTGACCGAAACAAGACAGATGCCAAGATACTCGTGAACCCCTCCTCATCCAGGGTGGGGACAGAGGGCCTTTGAGAGGTGCTCTGAGGACAATGCACGTCTGCCTCCACTGAGCCCCCACTGAACTCGTGCAGGCTCCCTAGTACTGCAGTCACTTCTCAGAGCTCAAGAGCTGGCCATGATCGGCCCCTGTCAGAGGCCACTCCCAGCTACTGAGGAGCCATGACTGTGAAGAGACCCTCGGCTGTGCGTCCACACTCCACAAGTGAGAAGTGAG